AGAAATCAATCTGCATTTGCCCTTGCTTTTGTGGCTGGAAATGATTGGGCCGGAAATCTTCCCTTGCTCCATTTACAAGCTCTTGTAGATTATTTGCTGTAGGTTGAGAGCCATAAAGATCTGCTGAGCTTCCTTGCTTCATACCATGAATATGCGCCCAGGTAGTGGCATGCAGACCATTTCGAGTGCTGGAAAAAGCAAGCCTGCCTCCATTGGCATAGGAGGCATCCCATGCAGGCCTCTCTTCCATCTTTCTAACAGCAAGTTTCTCCCTAAAATTGGGATGAATGTGTCCCGAGTTGTTCAAATCTTGCCCAAAAATCTTTTTCACTCCCTCCACTCTCTCAACAATCCCCAAATTAGGGAAGTTATTATTCTCATCCTTCTTCTCATTCATCACAACAGACACAGGTGCTACCACCGGCTTTGCACTCATCAAGGAAGCACTGGTCGAAAAGGAAAATTTTATTGACTGCAATAACTCCAAGCTTTCAGGTAAAGATCTCACGGACCCCAATTCAACAACACCAACATCAGTCGGGACTAGAACAACAGTCTGAATACCAGCAGACTTGGCCAGAAACGACCTCACACAATACTCAGATGTAGATTTCAAGGCATCAGAGAACCACATGTGCTTTCCCGAAGCAAAACACTGGCCCGGGCCACCTTCTCCCCGAGGGAAGGAAAAATACATGGATGCCAAAAAGAACATCTCAGTATCAGTAACCCTGTCCAATCCTAAAGCATAATTATCCTCATCAGATCCACCAAACAATTTGTGCAGTTTCTGCAATACCCTCTTCCTCATCTTCTGTTGGGTCTCATCCTCCAGCATAAGATTGAGAACCCGCTTGGCCTCGGATTCTTCTCCTTCCTTAGGCTCCCTACAACACCCATCTCCCCATCCGAGAACTAAATCACCAGTCTTGGAGCGGGAAATTTGCCAGAAAATAGCGTAGTTCCAGCTAAAGTTAGAGGCGTTGGGTCGGTCCACGAGATCAGAGAGCTTGTTCTGCAAATTCTCATCATTCCCTATGGCCATTAAGAGATTTTCATTCGAGACTGAGCTGGATAGCAAGAAGTCGAAAGCCTTTGTGCCCAAAACCGCAGCAACCATGGCCTTATCCTCATCATTCCACGCCAGACCACCCATATTCACCTCTATTTTCATCTCTAGAACCGAAAAGAAAGGCTACCAACGAAAAGAGGGCTGAAAATTTACTATACGCAGATCAAATCTCAAAGCCAAACAGTCCCAAAACCCCGTTCATACAAGCTTATTAACGAAAATTCAATGCACCCAACCAAACAAAAAACACCCATGGCGGTCCTGAGATGGCATGAAACCTATAATTCCAGATCTCAGCCTTCTTCAAAACTAAGATATAAAGAAAACCCAGAAAAAATAAAGTAAAATTAAGGCAAACAACGTAAGAATCAGAAAATAATACACACCAGTTGAGCGAAGCAGAGTAAGATCATGAGACAACGGTGGTGTGAAAGAGCGGAGTGTAATTCTGGGCGCTGAATATTTTCCCGGGAGAGTGGAAAATTGAATTGGGAGAAAAATAAATAATTTTCCGGGAAAAGAAAGAGATCAACCTGAAAGGAAAAAGAAGGGGAGGGTAAGGGGAAGGGAGTAAACTGGTATTGGGTTAAAAAGCAAAAACCAAAATTAAGAGAAAGAAAAGAGAGGACAGGGAGAGAATAAGGCTTGTTTCTTTGTGCTCCCTAAAATGTAACTGCATGAATGGACCGTGGTTAAGTAGAGATTAGGGTTAGGGAGTAACCATGGTTAGGTCATTCTAGTAGTCGGCAACGTATGTGCGAGTGCAGTGGGTTTTTTTTTAAGCTCTTTAATAATGGCGACACAGGTAACACGAACCCGCACGTACCTCAGGGTTTACAAATTTTTTTTTTTTTTTTTGGATGATTTTTAAAAATAAAAAATATAAAAATTTGAAAAAGAAAAAAAGGGTTGCTTGTGACATAAATTTGCGTGAACTCGTGTCAAACAGTGGCATACAATAAGTTAGAGCACATGTAGAACATGTGACCCCATTTTTTAATAATTTATTAAATTCCCACCTATTCTCATTGCTTTATCTTAATATGTCACGTTATTTTTAAAATATAATTATTTTATTTAATTTCATTATTTTAAATATGATTTATTGAATTTTTTAACTTTACCCCATATTAAAATTCGTTAATTCTGAGATAATATCTCATTCTTTTTTACATAACTTTCTAAAAAATCTAACGACTTTATTAGAATAATAAATTTTAAAAAATTAATTATAATTTCAAGAATTTTAAAATATAATATTTGGGCTTGGGATTAATTTAAAAAATAATAATAATAAATATAAATATATTTAAATACAATTTTTTAATTTATAAATTTTTATTTAATGTAAAAATTAGAAAAAAAATAGGTGGACGATAAAATTAAAAATAATTTTGAAAAAAGTTAGTGAAAATTTGGGTTTGAAATGTATTTTTAAAAGAAAAATCAGAAACTGGGAATTAAAATGTAATTTAAGAAAAATGTGCCACGTAGGACTGTTCAATCAGCAGTCCCAATGAACTGGAATGCGCAGCGTGGCAAGCCACGCTAACTCGGTGCCACGCGAGAGGCCACACTAACAATCCGCGTGCCCGCGATGGGACGGTCTGGATTTATTCCCGCGCGTGATGAACGTCTCATATCAAAGGGAGATGAATATAAATACCTCACTTCACACTAAACTTTAACCCTAACCGTCAACCCCCTGTCGAATAAGAAGAACCAATCGCTAAAGAAGGGAGCCAGTCGCCGACCGTCGACTGTCATCGCACTAAAGCCACCTCCGACCACCAAAAAATGTAAAAATTTTCTCATTCGCTCGAAATTTTATTTTGAACACCCTCATGGCCAATCATAGCAAAAGGACCGGCAAATGAGCTGGAAACCGCGGGTAAAGCTAGACGGCGGCATTGCAGAAAAAACTAAAAACCACCTCCGATGAGCCCCTTCCCGATTCCTGTTTCGTACGATTTTTTCACTATTGTAATCATCATTCTATTTTCTACAAGTTGACCGAAGAAAAACGTCCAACTGCGAAGGTGAGTCGGCAGAGCCACTGCACTAGAAAATTTCGCTGCCGGTGAGTTTTTGTTTTTCGATTTTTTTTTACCCAACCGAGACCCCTTAACATATTTTCTCATAGTGATGAGTATAAAACCAGCCGAAAACGGTTAGTCCGAGACAAATCCTCGTCGCAGACGGTGGTGCCTCTGTACCGGGATTTTGAATTGGTCAGAAAAAAATTTTAACACCGATTTTGAGTTTTTTAAGTATTTTTTAGGTACT